AAATTTGTAGATTCGTCATGATATAACTGCCTAATCTATAAGATCTTACGTGGAAGTCACACCATCGACTACGCCAACTCACTGTATCGTATCAATTACCAATACATGATGAAGAACGAGGTTAGGTTAGAGAAAGAACAATATATTTAATATGAATAGAGACCACGCCTGCATGGCCGAGCCATGCCACTCGATCAACTCCAGTCCATTCAATTCATTGTTCGCGCCTTCTCCATTGTTAGGTATTTCTCGGCGTTAAATATTGAATATTTATTTTCTGAGTAGTCTCGTGTTCACAGCTTTGTGGATTGTGTGGCTATTGTCCAATGCCACTACAACACCACTGAATTTGCTGTAGAGACCTTGATACTACTTTAGGGCCTATAATCATCCTACCGAGATGCGTACGCACACCAAACGGATGTTTCTTGTCTCCCAGGCGTTGTTCCAGAACCCAATGTGCATCTGGAGCATCACACCCAACCAATACTCCTACAAGATTACTTTGCAACATCGGAAGGGTTATGTTTTAGTGACCCGTGGCTCTGACTCCTGTTTAGACCGTATGGATGTTTGCTATCGCCTATTCTCGTATATCATCGTCGGATTTGATCACGTTAGTCAATAACGGAATTAAATAAGTCAAATAACGAGAATGAAATTTTGAATACAGATATTTTGTATATGAGGTGAATGGAATAGCAGGAATAGAAGAGACGCAGAGTGGAGATGACTGGTAAGACAACTCATTTTTAGTCAGGCGTTAATTAATATTTATAGGCAGACAAAAATAAGCTACAGACATGTGATTAGATATGGGATATGAATTGTACACACATATACGCTCACATAAAAACAATCAAGACTGATAAGCGAATAATTGACAAGGTCAAAACATGACTCAAGTAGAATTAATAGAATGGGATGTCCGAAAGCTAAAATAAGGTATATAGGCTTAACATAATAACTGACACTACAATGTCCTTTAACTGTTTCCACCGTCTCAGCTGAAGTTCGGTTACAGCTTCTGCATAATCGATCGGAAGTTTCTTGAACTTATTAGCCTTGTTGATCCTTATAGAACCCCGTTCATCTGATGAAAATACCTCTAAATTTACTTCCAGATATTCACAAGTAGTAGTTCCATTCACAGTCGTCACTTTTATCGAAGTCTTATTACCTTTGAGACCTAACTGATTTATTAACTCTTCACATACAAAAGGAGTATCTAAAAGGGCGTATGTTTCCAAACATCCTTTGAGACCGTATAGTCTGACCGCAGTGATACCCAAACAAACCTTTGAGGAGTTCTAATCCTTAACTAAGTTCACCACATAGCTATCGATACCATCAATATGTAACGAATTATGCCGAATCTTGCAATAATCAACGTCACATTTGAAGCCCGAGTTGCATGACATGGCTATGTGGCCTTTCCTCAAGCATAGATAACATGGACCACATCTTCTTACTTCCTGTCTCCTTTCTCTTACATTCATTTTTGTTAACTTTGGACAATCTGTCGCCTTATGATCACCTAAGCAGATTTCACAACGTGGAACCCTGACTGAATTGTTTGAGTCTCGCCTAATTGCATGGAGGCCTGGTCTCCTATCAACTTGGTCTTCATAATTCCTTTTCCCGAACCTTGAGTAACACAGTACTAATCTACCATAACGTGTTCGAATAATCCTGGCCCTCTCTTCTACAAAGACCACAAATTCTTCAAAGCTCGGCTCCTTCCCGTGCATCATGATCTTATCGGCGACTTCCAACCACTTATTCTGTAATTCTAGTGGTAGGCATGAAACTATTATTTTCAAATTAGCCGTAGAATTAACATCAGACGTCTACCCCATTTCCTTAAACGTGAAACATACATTACGTAGCTTAATCGCGAAGTCAGTTAATATGTCAGCTGATCCTTCAACAGATTTATGGTTTAATAACTCAGTAATTAGTTCTCGTGCAACAAGGTGCTCCTTACCAAATAGGTCATATAGAATTCGTTTAGCCCTATCATAACCTAAATGACTGGACAAAGAAATGCATGCTTCAATAACCGTTCTGGCCTTTCTTTTACAATAATATAACAGATACGACAACAAATGGCCCTTATCGGACGGTTTACTCTCTATAATGCTAGTAAACTGACTAATAAAATGGTAGTACTAACCTGGTTGTCCATCAAAATACATCATATCAATCTTAGATAAAACCATATTATTAACGGTAGTATATAACGTATCTTTCAACTCATCAACCCAATCGCCTTTTGAGATGTTAAATATCTTCCTTGAATGATTATTACAACCAGTCACACTGTTGAAATACCTTTCAACCTTAGCATTCATCTCACACTTGTCTACGGGCAGCTGGTCATCGTCCTCGATGACATTACATTCTCATTCAGCCATATCAACTTCTTCTTGGAGATCTAACATCTTAAGCTGCCTTTCTAAATCAAGTCTCTTTTTTAAGTTCCTCTTACTCAACTTTAATCTAGAAGTATTAAGCTGATCAGAGGACATACTATTAATACTGACATCATCACGTTTATCATCATTAACATCAGACATACCACAAACAGCTTTAGAAATTGTGCTTTCCACCTCGTCATTTTCCTTCGGTCTTTTGCTTTGCGTTTCCATCGTGTCTTTGTTCATAAAGAATCGATTACCAAAACAAATCTGAATTAATCCAAACGAAACCGACCAACAGGACCAGGAAATTTGACCCGAAATGTCGGGACAAATCCAAGGTATGAACACAGAACCAATAATTGAAGAACTTTATGTTACGTCCTAGTTTTTGTTCGTTCCTGTTATTGAAGTACGATATATCGATCTGTTTGCAATTTACAAACCCAAATTAACAATTGAACGAAGCTCCAATTTAGGTACTAAATTTTACTCGCAATTTACAAATAGTCGACTCAAATGTCGTTCCTACAATAATTATAACAATTATAGAAACAAACCTTCAATTTTGCAGGTTCGCGGAGAAAAAATTCCCAAATACCAAACAAAAAAAAAAGAGAAACCAATATGTCCTAAAATAATGATATAAACAAACAAGTTCGGAAGTTGAGTGAAACGAATACATCCAAAAATAGTGAAATTATTAGTATTTAATATAAAGGTTTTATTCAGCCAAATGTCTTCAGTTCTCCCGTACCAAGCCCTCATGCAGAACATGTGCTTATCCCGGCAATACATAGATTTTATGAACTACTAGTAACGAATACAGATTCAGTTACACACGGTTCAAAAAATATGAAGATCTGTCTTAAATCTCTTTTTAATATCCGTTACCAATGCTTGAATATAACGAGAAAACAGCAGGTGACTAGATGAAGCACGCAGGAACCGTGAGCTGAGAATGTTAGCGGTTCACTCGTCTCCCGATATGGAAGACCAGTTTAACTGCTTTGTATATGTGTGTGACCTGCATTTATCGGGGATGCTGATATCCAAACGAGAATCCTAAGCAACCTTGAAACTGTCCCGGCACTACCCTGCAAGAAGTACCTCGTGAATGCCAAAGATTGGTGAATTTGAAACATAATAGTTTGATGATATAGAACGGTATCCGGATTCTTCACTTCAACATAGTCGAGAGAAAAGACTCACGCAAAATTATCGTAACGACAGCAGCAATACGCCACCCCCATGCCGGTTGACGTTTCAGAAGGTTTTGTCGGTGTAAAGATCATCGTTGTACATGTTTTAAAAAAGGACACAGAGAAAGAACCGGCTTCCATGACCATGTAAAAAAAGTTTCTTATGAGAATAATGAGGACGATACCCACTTATAAATGAACACGGCTTCCGACATGACACTTATAATCAGAAGAATGTGGAAGATTGAGAGATCGCGAATATATCCAACTCAGCAATCAGCACACATTGCTTCCGGAGGAACGTTAAACATTGTTAAAGCGATAGATTATGAAGTCACAGTCAAGGACATATCGGGTAAGGGAGTAGTATTTCTGACAACGTTCACCACCAGACTTATTGAGACTTGATTGGACAGAGAGGCTGAGGATAACAGACCTCCCCGTAAATATCATCTGCAACATCAGTACAACGAAAGTGGAAGCATTATTAGGACGATATAAAATGGTGTTTAGTGTGGGGCTTGGAGAATGCACTAAACCTAAAGCTACTCTTGCCTTTCGACAGTGTTTTGACCCAAACCACCGGTACCATATGCTGCTCTCCCAGTAGTCGAACGACCTTATAAATTGGGTATTGTTGAACTTCTCAGAATGGGCTGCACTGATGGAGCTAGATAAAGACCAACGGTAGCGCCCGTTACTCGACCTGGCTAAATGAAGCCCTAGGATCTCATCAATACCCCTTACACCTACCTGAAGGTCTTCTTCTTAGGCTGAATGGAGGCAAGTTCTTTGCAAAGTTGGATTTGTCGGAGGCATATTTACAAATTCTGGTTGGTGGCGTGTAAAGATCTGACACATTTAAAGTAGTATTACTGGAGACGAGGGGACAAGTTAGACAATTACAAAATTCTTGACAGCTCATAGAACTACGCTCAGCCCTACTGTCGCAGATGGAAAGAAGTATTCAAACTACATTTCACGCCATGTTGCCACCTAAACCAATAGACAGACGCAGACAAAATCAGAATATCCAAAGTTTTAACGTGGGTGATAAAGTAGTCATCAAGTCATACCTTGGAAAAAATCAGTGGGAACCTGGAGTCATTGAGAAGATAATAGGAAATGTCTTGTATAAAGTACGTGGGGCATTTGGAATACAAATAGGACACACATACCAAATCCTCAGAGAAAAAAGCACGTTGAAAACAGTAGACAGACAAGTGAATCTTCCAGTGAAGATAATTACAGATACTCCAATGAAAGGAAGGCTCTGGGACACTTATAGTCGTTGGGGACACCAAGAAAGTTGGAAGGTAGTCATCAAACTGCAAATAGATCTGAAGAAAAAGGCTCATTAGAAATTAACTATTATTTTGTGTGAATTAACTCTATTTATTCTTTAGTGTTTAAAACTATACAAACAAAATCTTGTACCGGATCGATTATTTAATTATATCAGTCTCAAAGTAAATAATGTAAAGTCGATAAGGTAGTTTAAAATTTATTAGGGTTATTCAAAAAAAACAATACATGAGATAAAAAAAATCATTGTGCAAACACACACAATGTACACTATACCTTAATTTCCTATTAAACAAGTTAACTGATGATGACAGTAAAAAAAAAAGCAAAGTAACGTATCAGAGAATAAACAATTAACTTCAACAAGAAATGAAGAAAGAAGACTTTAAACTTTGAAATTAACTGACCATTTATCTTACAAAACAAAAAAATCTATACATAATAGAATAATGTACACATTGTAAAATTATTTTCATAATACAACAATAATAATATAAATTTACTTTGAGACAAGGTATGTATTTATGTAATTATACTAACAGTCAAAATAAACAATCTATACAAAGAAAAAAAAGTTAACTGCGATTACTTTTTTATTTATTTACGTTTAGAACTGAATTTGTACTTCGTAAAAATTTGAAGAATTAAACACAGTAAAACCATAGAACAAAATTAGTCGATATGACTAGGTTAGCAAATAAAGAGAGAAACATTTACAATATATTACTATGGATTTAACTGTAAAGTTCAATAATAATAACAATGATCAAGTAACAATAACAGTATTGAAAGAAAACAAGATCGAAGAGAAATAACGAGATCCGATGAAAATAAATTGCAGTTGATGATCAACAGTTGTGTATTTACTGTACAAATTAACTAGAAAGATAACAGTTAATGTTAAATAATGGGTGGGAGTAGAGAAACTTGATTATAGTTCTACTACACTAAAACAGGATGGATAGACGTTGACTCACAAAGGAAATTCCGATGGATTGAATAACGCAAAAAAAAAACTAAATTCCATAGTTAGTTTGTTCAAATGCAAATACATGAGTGATGTAAATATAACTACCGGATTAATAGACTACATCATTAACAGTATCACAGTAAACAAGAAATGGGACCTAAACGGTCTTCCTACCGGAAATAAATGAATCAGAAATGAAGGTAAAAAGACTAGGAGGTAAGATTAAATCTGGACCATGAATATCACTTTGTTTTGTAATCGAACTGAAATGATCGACTGAAGCACAGTGATTAGATTCAATATTATTTTGTAAGTAGTGTTTGGGATAACGTACAGAGGTTAGATTGATCAAAGAACGAGTGGGTCGCAAACGATTAATATTCCGTGTTTGAATGCGATTTCGAGGTACACTAGAAACATTAAACATATGAAATTCGTTCCTGGGAACAATAAAAAACTGCTTGTCTGAATTTTTATCCGCAGATATCCACATATGTGGTCTATCGGATTCCTCGATATGCATAATCGAATCCGCATCTAAAGATAACCTGTTAAAAGTAAGAAATATGAATGTACTCAGAAATAAACAGAAGCCTCAGAATTTAAAAAATGTAATTTAAGTGTATAAAAAGAATCGAGGAATATGCTTTAAAAAACCAGATCTATAGATATACGACGGTAAGTCTAATCAAAATAATATTTAGTGTAAACACAGACGTTGAGTCATAGAAAAGATCTCAACGGATTTAATAACGCAGAAAAATAGGGCCTACGATTATTTTGTTCAATTGCAAATACATGAGTGGTATAAATACAGCTATTCGGTAAACAGAGCAGTTTTGTTGCTAATAGCTGGCTTACTACCTTCGTTTAGTCACGTCAGTTCAAATTTGGATGAAATTGATGTAAAGAACATATCAGACGATCATTAAACTAACGACGAACACTTAAAATATAACCTGCAGCTAGTAATTATATAAATACAAGTCAGGATAATCTTTTGGTGAACGCTGGGAAAAACTCTCAGGAAATTCATGGACTGTTTCAGTGAAGAGGGTCGGAACTACAAGAAAGATACACTTGCAGATTTATTATTAATCGCCGACGAACTTCTACTATGTCATCCGATCGCCATTCTATGCTCATTTAGTTTAGCCTAGTGAGATTCGTTTTTGTTTCGTGAGTGAAAAACGATAGAGGTAGTAACAGGGATGATGTAGAGACGAGGCAGTAGAAGAGTATTATATTATGGGACTTCCAGGTACACTCTTAACAAAGTAATCAGAGATAGGACTAATGTGTCGTCATAAATCGGGGTATGTCGAAGGAGGTAAGATTGAAAAGCCGTGAACTTTGTAAAAGAACTTTATTATAACTTCACTTCAGAACAGTCCCCCGAGTATAATTGGTTGAAAACAGTCACATCTTTATTAAAGATCTTACACATACAGTTGTTGGATCTGAACATGTAATTAAAATACCGTACTATTGATTAGTTTTAACAAACTCGATATATTTTGAAAGAACGAATTGTAAAATGACAATAGTAAAGTGTTTTACGTATAAATATTTCAATATAACGTACTAACATATCCTAGAGATGACATATTAAAATGTAGAAAGCCTCAATGATAATAATTATCTGTCTCACAAGATCCCTTTGAAGATGAAATCTAAGAAGTAAAAAATAATTACCCATTAGTAGAACATGTTAGTTTTATCTGTACTATTTGTTAATAACTATGTTCACACTATGAACGTTCAATAGGTGTTGTAAACTGAATACACTTGACCTAGGTTCTTAATTAACTAAAGACAGGGACAGTAGGTGATGGTTATGTTTCCCGAAAAGACAACATAATTTAGTAAAGACATTGTGAAGGAAGGAAAAACTGATTAGTACTGACATCAGTAGACGAAAATAATCTCTAAACTAAAATACTACGAAACGATGTATCTTTTATTTTCTGACTAGAAGCGTGAATGACTAATTTACGGATAGGAAGTATGAATCGATGGACGGAAAATAGTGAAGTTCAATAAATAATGTTTGACAATCAACTCGACTAATACTTATAAGACCTAACCAGTCTTTGTTGGGATATGTGCATTCTGTACGGATTGGCTCGACAGTAACAAGTATTATAGAATAGATGGATTATGGCAAGATTCAAGATACCTATTTTGTCCTACTTGGAACTTGTAATATGGATGTGACTGCATCCCAATATTGATGCTCACAACGGGACTCAAATCCAGTACATTTCGCTTGATATCAACACCGAAAACCAGATAATTTAAACCTTACCAATAATCTTATTAAAATCATACTCGTTCTACAGATTAGTGGCCATCTGGAAAACGCATTGAGTACTAGTTTCTAGTTCTGGTGTGAACATCATCAGGGGATTTATTTTCGATACTAATAGCCAGAAAAACCAAACATGATCTCAACATTAACCATTTGTACTAGTTGCATTGAAAAACGAATAGATTCAGAGATAAACGGATTTATAGTCTGCTAGGTATGAACGAAAAAGTATGAAATTATTTTAGAATTTGAATTTTTAATGTTGAACGTCGAGATTTTCTAATCAGCTAAGAACCCACACATTTTTAGTAGCTGCTTTAATTTCCAAAACGTTATTTTGTTCTGTGTATCCCCGGGTTAATTATGAAATAAAAATATGGACTAAATGCATCATATTGTTGCTTTTTATGGAAATAGTAGTTTTCTTACAAAAGACTAAACTTTTCCTTAATATGTACGGGTGAGTTAAAAACACAGATTGTTATTGTAGCGTAACAATAAATTATACTTGTTTGTAGAGTTAGTTTTCAATGGGAATATAAGGAATAGTTAATCTTAATCTATTGGATTACATGAATAACACTAAACTTAACTACACAGTTAAACTTACTTAAGTTGATTATCAGATAATAAATTATCAAATCCATCTAGAATGTTCGATGTTGCATTGTTTATAAGTGTGGTATTTGAACGTTTCTGTTTTCTAATATGCAAAGTATTTCCAGTTGAATATGTATACTGATCAGTTATTAGTTCGGGAGATTTCATGATTAATTGACTAGTTTCATCGATTGACTGATAACTCGGAGTGGTGGAAATAGGACTTGTCGAAAGATTGAATAAGACATTAGATGTATTAATAACATTAGGAATAGATGTAACAAATGATGTAGTATAATTATCAAACACGGGAGGTAGACTAGATGATTCGCCAGATTTAGACATAATATTTAGTTCTTTGCTTTCATCGGTTACTACTGAAGGAAATAAGGTTTGTCTGTCAGAAAACATTGGAAGTTGATAAAATTCAGTCAACTTTGAATGAACTGAACTATCTGTATACGGATGAGAATTATAGTTATCAGACCAATCAAAAATTGTATGATGGTTGGACAGTGTATTTTCACGTAGATTTGTTTGTTCACTAAGACGTTTTTCAGATCCATAATATTTATCACTATTACCATCAGGAAGATTTAGTGGCACTGGTGAAGGTGAACATGATGATATTGGGACGGCTACAGTTGAAGCACTACGTATTGTACGAAAACCACCAACACTATCGATTGCAGCAAGACCAGTCATTGCGGATTCTGATATTATACAAGTGTCTACAGTTGGTTGAAACTGATCAGAAAAAGTGCAAATATGAAATAAAAATGTCTATGTCAATTTTATTTATTTCATTGAATAGAGAAAAAGCAAAAAAATATCGACACGAATAAACAATTCGTATGTTTGAAGTTATTACTGTTACAACTAAGGTAAACCGATTTTTGAAACAGGAGGACATCGAGATTCACGAATATTAAGGGAGTCATTCATTTACAGTAATTACAGATTTAATATGGAACTTAGATGAATATCATCAAGACATTTAAAATTCTTACTTTTGACCATACAACTTTGACAAATTTCGATTTTGGTATTTATCTGCATAATTTCATCTCTCTCTGCTGTTATTGTGTGATAACTTGAATCAATACAATTGTGTCAGGTATTATGTTTTTTTATGACTAATCACTCATGAAACAAACCTCCGTTTTACGACTTACTGAAGAAACTATTTTTCTTTTTAAAATTAAGTGAAGAATACAGAAACATTATGATACATCTGCTTAAGTAACATTTTTAAAAAAATATGAGAGTAAAATTCAGTCGAACACCGTCATTACTTGGATAACTAGAGGGAAATAGACAGTTTATGAGCAGTATGAACGCTCAGTCTTTATGTTTTGGAATGAGTACGAAAAGATTTAGTCACAGGAATGTTCTAAACTATGATAAAAAACTAGTTTGCGCTCTCTTTTCTGTTTTGCATGATTTTCAAGGCGGTCATATTAGACTGTAAGGCAAAGTTGTTTTTGTGAATTAGGCGAAATATTTTAGACAATCTACACACCATACTAATGCTACTAACATAATTATCCAAATATAAAATTGATAATCTGAAAACGAATTTTATTCACATACAGGTAATGAATCGATTGTTGTATTTGGTTTCGGTGGATCATCAGTAAGGAATGGTCGAATACAATCTGGATACGCTATTAATACTTCTAACACTTGATTCATTGATGATGGTCTGTGTTGCCATTGATGTTTACAACAATGATTAATTAATTCACATCTTAAAACAAAAATAATCATAATGCATAGAGTTATAATGCAATTACAGGAAGATTAAAACAAACAAACAAAATCGAAGTAGATAGATATTTGAAGAAAACGAAATACACACAACAGTATAAACAGGAGAATTAGATTAAACAATAAATTATACGGGACAGAGTAGTGGTGATAGAGAATAGCCAACACGATGTAGCGACCAACACAAATTGATATTTTTCGGATATATTCCAATATTCTTTTATAGATTCGGTTTCATCTTTTCGAACTAGATATTTCCAATCGTTATCGATGGTATCGGATTGTTTCGGTGAATTTCGCTGATCAGTATATATGTATATATATATATATATATAGGCTGCTCGTATGGGTCAACACGTCATTGTTGTGGCAGTGTTAAGATTGTATAAGTCGTGTTCTGATTGGCGATTTAGTTACGTGATAATTAACGGCCAAATCGACCTTATATTTAAATTGCTAATAGAGAGTATACACATACATACGATTTAACTATAATAAAAATATGAATATACATACACTACGGTATTTAATGCTTGAGGTGGTAAAAATTCAGTAATACTGAATTCCATACGTTTGACACGTTCCACAACTTCTACATCTCCAAGACCATTATAAGGAAATACACCAAAAGTAATAATTTCATATAATGTTATGCCAAATGACCAAATATCCGATTGTATACTAAAAACACCAAATTGTACAGCTTCAGGTGACATCCAACGAATAGGTAGTTCACCTAAAATGAACAGTACAGTAATAATAATTATTTTTACGCAGTAAAAAATTGAAACATGAAATATATATAATGAATAGTTCGTACAAAAGGTATCGCAGTATATATTATAAATAAACAAATGGTTATGACTCCATGTTTTGAGAAATGAAGTTAAAACAAAGGTTATGTAAGAAAAGTTGCATTTCTGACCAATAGAGCATAAATATAAAATAAAATTAGACACTTATATTATAGAAACGATAAAAATATTATTAGATATATATTCAGATGTAAATTCTTCAATCAAACTGAGTGATAACAAGAACAAATATTGATGCAGAATAGTATGAATTCATATTATTTCGAGGTTTCTCGTCAGCTGCTTACAAACCAAAAAATGTGATAGAATTTTTACATTGAGATAGAGTGAAAACAAATGACATAGATGAGTGTAAATAACTGGGTTACAATAATAACTATATATATATATGCTAGAACAGGTCAGAGGTCAAAAGGAATTAATTCGGGTTGGGTGGTGTAATAATGCAATTGAATAATCATAAGATAGGTTACGTAATAATAATTAAATAGAATATGAAAAGTTAAGATAATTTAGGAGGATCAGGTGGTGGAAATGCGTAAATAATAATGTGGTTTAAGAATTATGTAATAGGGGAGGAATATAAATATTTTAAAGTAAATAAAAATAAAATAATAATAATAATAAAGGGTTACCAGGGTAGTGATAAGCTAATTAACGTCTCTTTTTGAATGCATAAGTCAGGTTTAAGTTTTTTGATCATAATAGCTTCAGCAAAACGGAGGGTGGTCGTATTTCTTTGTCTATTGATAACTTTGAAAGCATGAGGAATGTCGATGGTGTGCCCGGTGTCAAGTAGGTGTCGAGCTATTGCACTGTTGAAAGCTCTGGTCCCACACAGCCTCAAGTTTTTTGGAACGTGCTCAGAAATGCGGACATGCACTCTTCTCTCAGTTCTTCCAATGTATGTGCTTTGGCACGTACATGTAAATTGGTAGATGCAGTTGGAGCTACTAAGAAAAGAGGGCTTGTCGATTTTGGTTTGTTGAAGTGAGCAGTTCGTTTGCCATACTGTCATAAGTTTTGCTGCTGGGTAGGTGACTTTCAACGCAGAGTTTATTCTTTGATTGATTATTCCAGAGGTTTCATCACCTTTGAAACGTAAGTGTAAAAAACAGGTTTTTCTTTCTACTCCATCGTATTTTGTATGAGGATTGCTTTTGGCATATTTCTGGATAAATTTCAATGGGTATTCATTATCGCGTAGAACATTAGTAATCAGATTAATTTCATCATTAAGGTATTCTTTTGAACAGATTTTTTTTAGCGCGGTCAAAAAGGGTTCGTACAATACCCTTTTTGTAACCCATTGGGCAGAAACTGTGGTAATTGAGATAAAGATCACTCCAGGTATTTTTTTGGTGAATATGTCTATGTAATTTACCATCAGATGTTCGTCGGATCCCAACATCGAGGAAATGGAATTTGTCTTCAGCTTCTTGTCCCATAGTAAACTCTATGTCCTCGTGTGCTTTATTAAATAGATCGAGTAGCTTAATGGCGTGATTGTTGCAGACAAGGAATGTGTCATCAATATATCTGCAATACAGTGTTGTACCATCGATTACGTGCTTAAGCTTTTTTTGTTCTAGGTTTCCCATAAATTTAAAAAGAGACGTTAATTAGCTTATCACTACCCTGGTAACCCTTTATTATTATTATTTTATTTTTATTTACTTTAAAATATTTATATTCTTCCCCTATTACATAATTCTTAAACCACATTATTATTTACGCATTTCCACCACCTGATCCTCCTAAATTATCTTAACTTTTCATATTCTATTTAATTATTATTACGTAACCTATCTTATGATTATTCAATTGCATTATTACACCACCCAACCCGAATTAATTCCTTTTGACCTCTGACCTGTTCTAGCATATATATATATAGTTATTATTGTAACCCAGTTATTTACACTCATCTATGTCATTTGTTTTCACTCTATCTCAATGTAAAAATTCTATCACATTTTTTGGTTTGTAAGCAGCTGACGAGAAACCTCGAAATAATATGAATTCATACTATTCTGCATCAATATTTGTTCTTGCTTTATTTAAATTCATAAAGGGAACCAATTGCATGAGTGATAGCTGTTGAATGACTGAAATATGATTACTATCTAGAATAGGGATGACAATAGTTGACCTGAACATACAATTTACTAACTTATACAATGAATTTTTAACTAGAGAGTCAGTCAGTTAGTCATAATAAACATAGAGTATGACACAAATATGGGTCAGCACTACAAGATAAAATCAACACGAGGAATAGCAAAACAGTTGAAATAAGCGCAGTTGTTATGATGAAGATTGAACGTCGGAAAATATGGTCAGGTATGCCAAATCCTCAAAATCAAACGTATTCTGGTAAAATTGGTCTTGGAATTCGTTATGAAGTTAACTATCAATTCATTTTGAATTTTTTAAAAGTCATTCAGGTTGAAGCTAGCCAGGTGATTTAAAGATATTTCCATAGTATTTATAACTTCAGTGTAATTTGTGCAAATTTGACCAATTTCTGCAATTAATAATCTTTTAATTAATCGATATATAGCTGAATAAACTTGGATGTAATTCAATTCTTCCAGGGTCTCTATCAAGAAAAGCTCCTGTACAAGTTTCGATGTCTTACTTAGCTGACCGGTAGGATTGAACCAGTCTCATTCATCGTATTGGAGTTGTAGTTGTCAATATTTACCGAAGTATACAAATGTATCAACATTACTAGGCGTACAACTCCCCTCTAAATATTAAAAACACTAAGTTCAGTGAACGGATCTATTTTCAACGAAGGTATTATCAAGCTGTACAGCTGTATACTAAATATTCAAATTGGAGTGAGAATAATGAAATAAAACACTGAAACAAAAGATGCATTTTTAGTTAGAAGGAATATTAACACGTACTATATCGAATATAACTTACAATTTCTTGTGAAACGATAATAAACCTCTGAAGTATTTTTAGCAGCTTGTCTGGTCAGACCGAAATCTCCGATTTTCACAGTACGATCCGCAGCAACAAGACAATTTCGACATGCTATATCTCGATGAATTAAATGCTTACTATGTAGGTAGGCTAAACCTTGGCCAATATCCATACTCATTTGAGTAAGAGTTGATGGTCGTATGTCTTCATGGTTTGGTGATCTATAAGAAATTCGCAACCAAGAAAGTATAATTCAACATAAAATGGACAAACAAGGACATAGAAATAGTCAGTCGACAAGTTATTTACACACTTATTACGTTATTCAACAAGTTACTAAGATCATGAAGTTAACGTACCACAAATTACCACTGACGAAAAGACAAACTTTTAACCATTTCGGAGAAACAGGTTAGAAATGCTCAATAATTTAACAAAAAGATTTTCAGCTATATTACTACTATGACTAGTTGGAATATTCGAATCTGAATCAAAGGTATACATTCAATAGAAAACGGTCGGAAACAATGATACAGAAATAAAGAAAAGTTTCACATCCCTGATGACTTTCAGTAAGAAATTGGTAAAACATGATTTTAAAGAATAATATGATGCTAACACCTACAGACATTACCAGTAATTTCTAATCAATTATTTTCAAGATTAAGATAAATCTGTGCAGATCACACAAACAATACACAGCTAGGAAAATAGAATAACATATCACCTAGATGGTCCGGAAAAAAGTAACTAAAACCATATGATGAACTGTTTTCAGTAGTCACAGAAAGGCTTTAATGAAGGATGCTGAAGTAACCAAACGCCAACTTCTTAGACGTTCCAACTTCAACTTCAGACTTACTCTACTTGAATACAAATTCGATGGATACACAAAACGAACCCTTTCAAACCGAGTTTCTACGCATATTATGTGGCTACGTAGATCTGCTAAGAAGTGATCAGATGACCTACCTTGTTCTTATTACATGTCAGTTGTTTATTTAAAGAATAACCTCGATGACATTTGCCATAGCCTTTGTTGTTAGCTGATTGGTTATGAGTACCAATGTTATTGTGTGTTACCACAAAAGCAAAGTTGTTCGTTTTCAATTTCTAGCTTTTGTACAGAATGTAAAGTCATCAGTCACTAATGTCGAGTTTGAACAAGATCAATTAACAGATCAGTACTTGAAGCGATAGTGAAATCCAGTTACATAATTTCATCAAAGTAATTTTACGTTAATATGGTTTAAAACATTTCACTTCATTTGAATACTTTAATATTAATTCTCACTATGCTAACATTTTTTTGTATTATTCATTGCCGTTTCTACATATGTTAATTTACAACTTGGATTTCACTTTTTCCATCTGTAAAGTAATCTTTGATAAATTTATCGGTATATTTGATGATAATGTACGCTCACTTTCCTGTTTCATCATCTTAAAGATAATTTTACAGCATCTTTTAGACTGTATTCTTTAAAGTGTATTGGGCATTGACGATTAAAGAATCTTGATGACAGACAATTATTTTAGTGATAAAATTCAAGTTATTAAAAACGACATAAACATCAATTTGTCTTTTATTTAACTTGATGGGTACTTTATCTTTCTATCGCATCTTAAGACTATGTTGAACGTCAAAATGGAATTCAAATCTTAGTTGAGTAACTAATGATCAGACACCTGAAATAACTTGTCGGATTACGAAAATATACATATAAGGAATAGGTTCATGGTTCACTACTTATTTTCAAGATAATTCACACTAAATACGCTGTTAAATTTATTTGGAACATTTTCTATTACAGATTTTGTCAAGCACAAAACGGTAGTGAATCATAATTTAATACGAAATATAGATCCATGATTTCTAAAAAGATACCATTCTATCGAACATGAGACAACGAAACCAAAAACATCATCGTTTACCTTTGAGCTAAAATTCGACGGGATAATAAATATGTTTTTAAATCTCCTAGAAGCATGAGTTCCATAATCAGGTATAGACTTGCTTTTGGATTCAAGGAGATACCAATTAAACGAACAACGTTTGGATGATTTAAAGAACGCATTAATTTTGCTTCAGAAAGAAAATCAATTTTCCCTTCATAAGTTGCTTTCTCATTAATTACTTTCACAGCAACTGCTTCCCATAAATCTATTTTTTTAGCTTCACCACCGAATACTAAACCGAAAGTACCTTGACCAACTCGACGATTTAAAACAATATTTTCAGCAGGCATCTATAAAATGGCATTGAAAAATGAAAGACGAAAAGGATGGAATCGCAAACACTGTTATAATTTTGACTACTACTAATGCTACATCAACTCGTACTACGACTGTTTCTCATGATAAATAAAGGGAATATTTATGTGTATGCGACGTAAAGTAGGAAATCATGCGCATAAAAAACAGAAATTGGAAGAATGACTAACCTACAAGAAGGTCTATAACACAAATTGTATATATTTATACAATATATATCAGAATTCGAACATTCAAATAATCAGATGTGGAATATGTTCAACAGACCGTGATGTTTTATACATTTATTTCATATTTATAAGACATTAAACAAACGAACTAATAATTAATAAAGAATCCCTGAAAAACTATGCGAATCAAAACTTGCTGAGAATAAACGACTAATGGCTTGCTCTACATCACTATATATTTCAGAACTAGACTCCCTGTGTTAATTTTGGTGGAGAACAGTTGGCAAGGTCAGCAGGACAGCTGTAAACATTGGTTGATCACTGAATAGTGGGCATTTCATATTTGTCTACTGTTGATCATATTCTATGGATAATGTGGCACTGTGATCGTTAATCTCGATGGCTTGAGATCTGATGAACGATTTTGTGTAAGGTGGTCGAAAGTGACCAGCAGGGAACTCTGGACCTAAGTTTTGTGATAATTGGCACGCGTCAGCAAGGTAGACCTACGATCTTTAGGGAACCCATTCACCTTGATGGATTCGCACTCGGATCATCTAGGTTCAGTATTTCCTGCCGATTACTTTCGGTCGGCGAGGATTAAAATATAATACACGAAAGGTTGAGTCTATCAAGAAAACAAATACATAACTCAGCTGTTGGTTATAAATTTCATTTAAAGTAGTTAATTTACTGATGTTGCAACTTATACATATGAAGAAGGAATTAATGATTAATTTATATCAACTGCTACCAGTTTGATGTATTCGGATTAATCTATTGACCGAATATTTTACGACTCATCTCAATGTAATTTTTGATGTCTTTTTGATCAGTTATAGATTTGCGGTTGGTGTATAATAAACATGTCATTTGCAGTTTTACTTTTCTTCCTTAAGTTGAGCAATAGCAGTCTTTGCTCTATTATATAGTAAGAAGTAGACAGTTGTGTCTGAAATCATAACAAGTAGCAATACAAGCATTTTGTCAAGTCGAGTCTTTTGGACCAGCAGTCATAATGCAACATTGCCGATAGAGTATGGTCAACACAGGAATGGACACACGTGACGTCGGCTGCTAATCCGTGACCAATCAACGAAGATGCTTTAGTGGCCCGGGATCTGACTCCAGTTAGATCGGAAAATGATCGTTATTGAATGATTGCTGTCGAACTATACATCCTGACAATTCTCGTAAATAATCATCGACTTAATCCACGTCAGTAAATAACGAAACTAAATAAGTCAAATACGAGGATGGATGTTTGGATATGTATATTTTGTACACTCAATGATCTGGACAGGAAATCAGATGGATGAAGCGAATAGAAAAGAACGAAGCGAAATGACGCGCGGTGGAGGCGTGTGAGTCAACTCCACTTAATCAAGCGTTAATCAATATTTATAATCACACAAAAATAAGTTAAAGACATGTGAGGTATAGGATAAGAAGTGCACACACATACGCCCATATAAAAAAAGTCAAGGTTGATAAGTCAATAATTAGCAAGGTCAAAACGTGACTCAAAAAGAATGGATAAACTGGCATGTCCAGAAGCTAGAATAAGGTATGTGGGTTTAACATAGTAACTGACACTACAATGTCATGGTCCTATTGGAAGTCAGGTGTGACTCGAAAAGTAAGACAGTAACCTCTCAAACTGTGGATATGAGTGACAAGGGTTCAGATCAATCAGGGGAAGTCAGCTTTCAATTGGTTGAAGGTATGCTTTGCTGACGAGTGTCAACTAACATGAAACGTAGGTCCAGGATTTTCTGACAACTACCTCCAACCATCTAACGTCATTGAATGTATTTAAATAGCATTACTTTGACACTAGTTTAATTGTAACCGAAATGAAACTACAAAAATAGACCAAACGGGAAATATTTTATCATTATACTAAAAGAGGAACAATCCGAAATATATCTAGTGTTAGGAAAACAGTTGATAGCAAAAAGACATAAATCTACAAAAGCCCATAACTTACATCTAAATCAGCCAATTCTGTGCATAGTTCTTCAAAAGGTTTACGAGTTCGATTTTCAATTTCTTTTAATTTACGTCGATAATAAAAATGAGCAAATATAATCAGTGGCAATAAAACTAAAACGGTAACAGTAACAGTGACAAATACAGTAGCACCTGTACAACCCATATGTAATTGATTACTAAGAAATGATAATGTACAATTTTTTTCATTGATAGAACCATCATTTGGTGGACCACCTAATGTATGCCAATTAACGTGGTCTAACCAACGTTCAGTCATCCGTTTCTGAAATTCATCGTATAGAAATGGAGCACTGGTTGTTTTCCAATCATACTTGTTTGACATATTATTTGATGAAATCATATGACTGAATGGATCATATGATTGTTGTTGTTGATCTTGCTCATGTACTTCTTCATAGTTTTTTGTTGACCACATTATAATCGGTACAGTAGTATTTAAATGTCTTTGTTTCAACAGCCAATAATCAGCAATACGTTCATTATGATCATTAAATCGCAAATTTGATGCTGAAGCAGGACTTTGACTGCGTATACCATAATAGTCACCAGCAAGTTGAAATCCAGCATCTACACCAAAATTATCATCATTGATACCTGGAACAAGTTCATTTATTTCACTAGATTGTCCAGTTGTTGAATTATCTGTCTGAAATCGATAACCAAAATTTGTTCGTGCAACAAGTGTTCGAAGAGTTTCAGATACATCAGGATGATTAAGAGCAGATGCTGCAGCAGGATTTTCTCGTAAAAGATGAACAACAGCACTTGCTAGTAGGATAACAGCATCATAAGTATACACAGTGTAATCATGAAGAGGATCTTTGATTAATTTACGTTTTGAGTGATCACTGAATGTAGATTTCCCAAAATCATTTGGATTGGGATTATGTTTAGTTCTTGATAAGACAGGTGGTACTTCTAACCTTTGTGACTGAACAAAAACATGGCGTCTGCGTCGTATTTGTTCAGATGAAGTTCGATTCGGAGTACCATTTGAATTATTTCCAGACTTAGAGTCTGAATCCATAAACTCACTAGTACGAGGAATAAAACTGTGCACCATAGGACCAATTAACAACTGGTGTCCAACAGTAAAAGTCCACGAAGTAATATTGAGCATTTCACTAAAATTACACTCAGTATTTCGGCCAACCAATTCCGACCACCATTGATCAGAAAGCCATGGATTCAAAAACCAAACGTATCCAGCGGAAAAATACATCCCTTCATGATATGCTGCACAGAGTATCAAATAGGTACCACGTGCATCGTACTCGACAACAAATATGCGACTGTTCTGTTGTTTTAATTCTTCTAAAGTCTGTAAGATGAACAAATCATAAGAATGACTCGATAAAACGCACGAAGAAAGAAAAGAGGTAGCAGATAAAATTCCAGAAAGTGGTTTTCGCCATGCAAGTATTATCAAATTCAATACATACATGAGTATGTGTACAAATTAGTGCGACTTGTACTAGTTAGAAAGTATAGTAATCACAATATGGGAGTCAAATACACTTCAAGTAACTTGTAACTGTACTAATATTAGTCCAATAAAATGTAGTCCTTTCACTGAAACGCGTATTTCACATGGAGGTTTATGTACTCAGCTTGGAGCTACACAGAGTGATGGCTTAATAGTTAAGGAATTTTAGTTTTAGCCACTAAGTCCCATATTATAATTCTGCTCCCCCTACTTCAGTTAAGGTAATTGAGTAGCACCATCAGCTCTTATATGGCTCACACCCAAGTACCTATTAGATAAGTTAAAACTATATGCAGAACGACGTACAGAAAATTCATACTTACATCTTTTGCCAGTTTATAAGTTAACTGTTGTTCATCCATTTCAATATTGGCAATAATTTCGATTCCCTTTGCTTGAAATAATAAAGGTTCAAAAAAATGATCCGATTTACGAAATACAACTATTCGATGCCAACCCCATACTAGAAATAATCGAAGTAGTATAAAACTGAAAAATAAAGAAACAAACAAAAAAATGAAAAGAAACATTCTTATTTAAGAAAGTATTATTGAGTGCTAAATTTAAGTCGAAGTTTTTTTCATTTAGAAGCTCGAGTTTAATGGTTGAATTTCAAGAGATGTACACATGAGTTCATTTCATATCACAGAAGATTTAGCACTTCATGATTTAAAACTCCAGTTGTATATACCAAACTAATTTATTAAATCCTTCTGTTTACGATGATCGGAATAATCAACTTTCACTTTTACATAAAAAATATTTCTATTTATCTGTAATTCATCATTATTGACATTATAATGCAGGGTTTTTCCTACTCAGAATTTTTTATTGGTATCTACACATCTCTTTCATCTCGGTTTAACAACAATCATAATTATTCGACGCTTGTCCTGATAATTAAATATTTCATACTATACATAAATCCCGATTTTAAATGACATGGTTCAAAATTGTTTACAATGGCGCAGGTGCATCCGCTTTTTGTGTTCTCCCAAATTCTAATCTTCTCAATAATGCATGTCTCGTTTTTTTCTCTTCCCAAATTTATTTCACTGGATTATACTCCTCGAATAACATCCTCAAACCCTAATCTTCCCGCTTACTGCTTGTACTTTAACTACCACTATGGGATTCGAATCGACAATTGTATCTCTGTGCTAATGTGGTATGGCAACTCGAACTGATGTACCTACGTACGAAGTCTAAGTTGTTGCTGACTGACCCTCCTTAGCACTTAATTCATCACCTATTTGAAATTATGTGGGGAGATATTAAATTCCATTACAACTCATCAAATCCTAACAAGTATTATCCAATGACCTACAATTTATCATTTATAATTGTACAGTTTTGCAGAATGCACTTGCTGAAAAGGAAACCTACATTAACTTCATTATTTTAAAATAGATTGATAGAATTTCGAATAATTAATCTAAGAGTAAAACAGGAGAATAGTAAATTTAAGATTCATATTGTGCCAACATAGAGATTGGACATTCAAAGCAGCTGTAACAACTATACTTACAAGTTTAAAAGGGGTTAGTGATGAACGACCTGAAACAAAAAAAACACTGGCACTTTATTAATTGAGAAATTCTTGCCAGGATTCCAAACAGTAATCTGAATTATAAATTACTGACAACAAAAATGTTTCATTACAAATTATTAATTAATATTTTAACTAAAAGTATATGAAAATTAGACTTTTTATTAGAAATCACACTTGAATATAATTGACTTTCAAGTCAGAAGACAAAATTCATTTCGTTAGTTTGACAGTCATAAATCATTAAGTCATGTATTGTTATACATGACTTTTAAGCATAGAAATAATATTTGAATAAATATTTAGAATTTAAGCTTTATATAAACGTTATGATCACTTACTTAGCCAAAGTCATTGATGGTACTGTACGAAAGAAGTAATGATATTGTTGCTGTTCCAGAAAACGTGCACTACCTACTGTTGGACTGACAATAATCTGTTTGCGAATATTTGCCAATTCAACTACAGCTTCTATAGAATCTGAGCATAGAGCAGCTAATAAAAAAAGTGGATAGACCATACATTATAATAAAACATAAAATAATGTTGATAAAATTCAGAATACAAAGAAGAACGTCAAACAGGGAATGGGACTGGTTGTCTAGCAGATGAGAGTTTATATAATTGCTATGAAAGAGATGGGATCGATCACTAGTAAAGTGCTCTTGGTGACAGGGAAGAAGGAAAAGAACTGTTGAAATAAAGGAGAATAAACTGATAGTATCGATGATAATGACTTGTTTCATAAAGTACATCTACCATTTCTTGATATAGGGAAAAAACAATATTACACTACATAAACAGACTGTGAAGTGTAACCACCAAGTAGTGAGTCTACACATATGCATCGTATCATACTAAATTTGATCTCTTTTCAGGAAAAGAAATAACCGTTACATGCTTTACGCTGAGAAGTTTACGTGCAATTATTCAACTAATCTATTTTTTAAAGAAGACCACTAATTTAAAAAGGAAATAATCTATTCCTATAAACCTTTTATGAAATAAGCTGCAAAAGATCAAGTGCTGTCTGCTTGCTTAAACCCTAATATTAACGAAAATACAACCATAAACATTTACAGAAGAAATTAGTTTGACGTGAGGGTTGAAGGCACCACGTCCCATTTCTGCTGGAGTTATAGTTAGACTGATAACGTTTGAAGTTTGAACTGTAAGGTATTACAGCCAAACAAGGAATATAAGCTTTGCAGTTACATATCTATTCAACAGTGAATATGAACTGATTTATATCACATCTAACTCATCGCTTTAGTAAAATCTACGATGACAAATTTAAAAAACCAGTACAGTTAACATTTTATTTAGGAAAATCAAAAGTAACTTTTAAAATATCGTAAAACGTTTATCAAATCCTACCGATGGAACCAATAAGACGAGTGTTGACAGCATTCTCCAACACTTTAAAATAATCGCTTAACACGACGTCAGGTTCACATGTTAAATTACGTACATCCAAACTTAATGCATATTCAGAATTGCGAAAATAATCTGAGTCGGCGTTGACAAAATTCATAGCTTCTTGAGCCACTAGATAGTTATGAAGCGAAATTAAAGTTTAAAAAAAAATCAACTAAGTTCATTGGGAGAGAATACAGATATAAGCAGAATGAAACAACGAAACACCAAATACTATTAAACGAATGTTATATAGCGACAATCTTTAATAGTAACGAAAAAAAACTCTACATTCCTCTAAAATTCGAAACAGCATTGTTTGGTATCACAGTAAGAAAATATAATCGAGAAATTCTAGTTATTCATAAAATTACTGACAAACGGTATCATGAAGAGAATCTAAACCTTTAAACAAACTATAAGCATTTAAAACATATGGTCATATTTTAAGAAACTCTGTATGACAATATTTATGCAACAGAATAATTTATACTTATGAAAAGAACTGACCTCGATGAAGACCATACAGCACCCATTTCCCATACATACTGAACAGGCCAGCTACTGTTAAGTTAAGTTTTTTGTCCCAATCAACTGTCCAACTTTTCCATTTAGTTGGATTCTGACGGAGCCACCGACATGCAACTTGTTTATATGTTGACTGACGATCTATATGTGAGTCGAGTAGCGCCTAAAATAACAAAAGTTGCGAATAATAGTCACAGTCAATAATTGTGCATTTAAAAGTTGGAAGCTTCATTTTATACACACATAAAAATATCAATCAAATGCTTATTTTAGCCATGTCATATAAATAAGAATTTTATTTCAAAATATACTGCTCCGTAGATGGCAATAACGTTAGTAGCTACTACCATTCCATACTTTCTTTTGATGAAAATATGAGTAGAATATACAACTCATAAATGGGGCCGATTTAGATAATGAATGATGTTGAACAATATATGAACCTCATCTTTGGTTTAACAGATGATCACAATCAGTGGGTGTAGATCAGCAATAACTTGGCTTAAAATAAACATTTACTAAATCTCACGGCTGTTAAAGCTGAAAATCAAATAGCCTGAAATCCGCCTTTTATTTTATGCAATTTCGGAAGCATCTAACTTCAGAGACCTGAAAAAGCCAAGCTTGAGATGTAAAACTTGTAAAATTCAAGTGAACACAATAATAGAAACAAATTATTACGTGAATACATATTCACGGACCATTTTTATAAGAAGTTTGAAAAAAATTAAGGAAATGTTTTTATTAATACGAATAAGAGAAACCATTTTTTATCAAGTCGAGTGGATGAAATAAATACCGTCTAGAAAAGGGCATACAGATAGATCATAACAAAATCTCAGTGAAATCATTTATCATTAATTTGATAGTGATATGACGGAGTAGAATGATACAATAAAAAACAATATAGATTGACAGCCAAAATATGATTAATTCCGACGAAATCTTACATTAACTTTACGAATAATATCAGTGAACACGACCTAGTGATAATGATTGTGAAAAGTACTTAATGAAAAAGGGGAATTTTTTTACCTGATCACAAATTATGAAAGGGAAATAATGATGAGACTTACGTGTTAACTTAAAGAAATAAATTGCTCAGTAGGATTATTCGAATTACGTGACAGGATGGATTAAATCAGTGATATTACATAGTTATGACAAAAGGTGACAACTCGATGAGTTATTCATTATTTATTTGAACACATAAATATTGGTACAAAGGGGCACCGCAAACATATGCACCACACAAGTCACTTGATTTGTGTGTGAAATGCGATACTGCCCGGGTGCCCAGACCGAAGCAGGTGCTTTTTTAGGGGCCCATACCCAGAGCCTTCGACCTAAAGGTCTGATCCACAGGGCAATCGGGCAACGTTAAGAGATGTAGTCACATGGTAACCGGTGACCAGTATTTGGTTCATACGCCATTTGTTCCTTCAGGATCCCAGAGCTCATATGCACTATTGGTTTGGAATCAGGGTTTTCCAACTCCCCTAGGTGGATCCTTCATATCCAAAAACACGGTTAAAGTGCCAGACGTTCGCTCTTCGTCCTCTCAATGTCACAAACAACACCCTAGCCACGAGAAGGCAGTGAGTAGGACTTCCGTGGCAGTATCTGTATACGCGTGGCAATGTGACAGCTGACTTCCCCCCACCCTCGGTCGTACCAGGGCATTTAGGGGTCCCAATGGTAATCAAACTGACAGGCAGAGCGCTTCGATGAGTATTATTTCATTGTTGTAAGTCATATATATATATAATTCATTTCCTTTTTACTAACTTTTGAAGTGAAGAAACACCTCCTAATACTTTGAAGTGTTGATATCTATTCTAGATAATTCTCACTATAGAGAAAACAGTTGATGCCTTGAAACTATTCAAGCTAAATAACTGGTTGGTAAATGAGCAATATTTATGGAATTTTGTTGTAAAAATGTTTCAATCACTAAGTCTAATTGTTTATTTCTTCAGTATTATGGTTATTGTATTATGTATTCAATAGGAGAAAGGTTGTTTAATTGTTTTTCTGAATCGACAGTAAATCTTTTGTTGTGGTACACGAATGATATTGGATTTCTTTGCTGCCTAGAATATTTGATTTGGTCGCTTTAAAAATTTCTTACCAACCTTTGTAATTTTTGATTAAATTCTTTACTGACATCGATTACGTTATAAACATACAGAGTAAATTAACCTTTCGATGAATATTTCTTTTGTCTACTTAACTGAAATACCTATGCATCATTCAGATAAATTTTGACATAAGGTTAGGTTTATTTTAGTTTTTAAAGAGTCACTGAAGAAGAAATAAGACCTACTTACTTATACCATTCGTTAATGTTTTTGGATTGCTCACTGTTACTCTAAGTAATTAATACACGCTCTTTTTAAGAAATATGATTCAGAAAAGCTTAATGTATTCGATTGCGATGCTCCTTACTTTCCTAAACAAAAGTTAGGATAAAAGTTGAAACATAACTTAATGGTTAGTAGTCGACTAATTTGACCATCCAGTCACAACCACACTAACCCTTATAAAGGAAGTCAATCAATTAAGTTTTCAACGGTCAAATTATTTAAAGCACTCACATTTCATGCAATCTCAAGAAGTTTACTTTCCAAGAAAATGGAATCATATATAAAGTACAATAACACAACTATTAAAATAAATGACAAGGACTATATAATTATTGTATCTTTATGATCTTCCAACATCCTTGGCAATTGCCCCTCGAGATTTTGTCCATGTAGCAAAATAATTCTTATGTATGAGAAATTATGGAACACAGTATTGGTGATTATGGAACTTCCCCTTTAATCAATGGAAAGGATTATCGTAACCAATGTTTAGAGACTTCGAGTGACATGGCTCAAAGTTGTTTGCAATGACGCAGATGCATCCATTCTTTGTCTTCCCTAAAATCCTGAGGTTCTAAATTCCTCAAAACGTTTTTTTTTTTTTATTTCACTTACATTTTCGTTTCGAGTCGTATCTTCGATGCCTAACCTTTTCTGTTATCGCTGATACGGTTACTACATCTACTGTTCTGGGATTTGGCCTGACAACTTTATCTCTGTGTGCTTATGAGACATGGCAACTTGAGCCGATGTACATATGTACAGGTTCTATGTTGCGACTGACTGACTGGCTGACTCAATGGGAAACAATCTGAATATCATTCGAAATGCTATGACCACTACCATACTTCAAAGAATCCTAGAAATGGGTAAGAACACTTTTTAGTATTAGAAAGATGATCATTAAAAATATCACGTATAATTGCTGCTACCGCTTTTGCTAACGTTAACTTTAACAGTAAATTAATGATAAAATCATTCATGTTTTAACTTTTATTATCTATTTGAATATTTCGATTTGTCATTAATTAGTCAACTGAAAATTTCATTGAGAATGCCTCAAATTTTGACAATTTTAAAGTGACAAAATAAAACCGATAATAACAACAGTAACACTAGTTTTCAGAAAGTGATAACTGGGTAGTCGTTTCGGAATGATAATAATTCAATGTATCTAAACCAAATGTGTTATTCAACCTATCTCTAGATTACTGTAGAAAAATATAGGAATGTACATTGCTGTCGATGGAGAAAACAAGTTTTTGAGGAAAAATCATATTTGGTACCGACTGATGTTAATTTGTGCTTCAACTAATTTGAAATAATAGAACTATATGTACACATTGAATAACAAAGCACGAATGTAAAGGTTTGATAATTCGCAATTGATCTCGCTTACAATAATATTTAAAATCAACATTGAGAAATGATTGACATTAATAAGCCGTAAACACCAGATACTGTAAAAACAAATATATATACGTCCACCAGTAAGAAACTATTTGGTATATATATATAATTGTATAATAACATACCGAGTGCACCAATTCTCCCAACTCATCATGAGACATATACATTTTAGATGCAAGTTGAAAAATTTGTGGAGCTGCCGTCCGTAATTTAGCCCATGTCACTTTAACAGCTTGATAAGATTCAGTGTGGCAATATTGATAACTATTAGGTGAGGTAGATTTTGTATCAGTACTGCATAAAGGGGGTGGAGGAATACTATAAGAATTATACCGTAAACATGTTGAATTTAATTCAAAATCCAAAATAGTTACTGACTTCCCAGAGAGTAAAGTATGATTATTGAATAAATCTGAACCATGTGCATTTTCCGTTCGATGACCTGAGTAGTCTGGTAAAAGGAAAATAAGACTTTTTAAAGAGACGAAATTTTCGCTGACTGACAAAATTCAAATAAATATTAACTCGCGATCGGAAAAAAATTATATATGTAGTCAGTCATCTTATGTAATATAATACGATTAATTTTACAGAATCTGAAAGATAAGATAACCAAATCGGTAATCTATGCTAGGACACATACCCATATCACATGTCTTTAGAGCTAATTATCAAGTTCTTAAGTGTTCATAAGTAGTGATTATTAGTTTGAAAAACTTCTGTCGAAAAGTCACTTTTTCTAGTATAATAATGAAAAATTCATATAAGCAACTTAATCAAATATCGACATCTGTTTGGTTTAGTAGATCTGCATTTCAGATTAAGAGGGATTGTGAAGTAACTACTGAACTTATGTGAAACTGTTTACATATTGCTCTGTGTTTTAGTGACATGAACCAGGACAAGTTATTTTTTCATTGTATGAATAAAAATAATGTGCATTTATTTCTGTACCTTACAGATCACATAAAGTTAAATTTGTCAAGTACATATCGCAAAAATGCTACTACGAAGATGCGTTTACCTATCTAACTGAAATCATAAATGTGAATTCCACTTCTAACTCTATCCAAAGTCAATTGAAGATTAATATCCACAGAAAATTATCTGGATGGAATTACTACCTAAATCATAAAGTGTGCCATAGATTTAAGAATATTTTTATTGAGCAGACCATCTACTTTATGTGGTATGATGGAGTACAGACTTCAACCATGTGAGATACTTGGGAGATAACTCAGTAAGACCATTAAATGAGCTTTCAGATAATAAAGTTAAATGCTAATGCAAAGAGTCCTTAATTATCAATACGACAAAGTGATTTGTTCAGTATATATATATATATATATATATATATATATATATATACCTATCTCTTATCACATATTTTCAAGCTTTAGGTATAAGTTGGAGAAAATCACAAGTCCTAGGATTTCAGAAGTTAGTCCTTCTATATCGAAGAACATACTTGCATAGTTTAAGTTTATCAGCCATAGATTAATCTGTATGAATATACTGTGATATCAAAAATGAGAGATACATGACGACTTAGCAACAAAAGGATTTACTTAATCCCAAAAGTAAAGATTTATTTACTACAAATATAGTAGTATTTCACAATCTTAGATCTGTCTATCCTCCTTCTTTAGATTCACTTACCTATTTTTCATTAATGCTGTTATACTTTATTATACCACTTAGAAGTGTAGCTACATAAATTAACATATCAAACATCATGTATAGTATGTTAAGTTGACTTTATATAAATAAACTCATGTATTCAAACAAATACCATTGAAACGACCGACTGTATATACGTCATGATATAAGGTATACGAAGAGAATCACTCTACAATGAGAAACGAAGCAATATTAAGTTAGGATAGACAATGCGAATTTCTTGGCGTGAAGCTTCTAGACAAAGTATGGAAAACATTAGAGAAACACAATTCAACACAAAGATATATTATTCGACCAATCATGAATACAAGTATTAAAAATAGTCATGACGTGAGAACTGCGCTAATTTAATTAAAAAGTAAAAGAAAATTATGCTAAACTTTATAAGTCAAATTTAGTGTAAGATTTACTTACTTTGACCAACGATGTCAATAGGTGAGCTACAATCATGTTTAAGAGAAGTATAGTTTGGATTTCCTCTGAGATGCGATTTGTTGTAACAGGACTGAAAAAGAACGATGTAGAATATGAGCGCCATCAATGCGAATAAGAATCTTACTGATGACCATTCTAAATAGTCTGAAAATTATTCGTATTTTATACATCCTGGATTTACTCAATATGCTATATAAATATTATATACTCAAGGAAATTACTTGATTGAAGACTCTTAATAGCGAATTATAAGTTGTGAAAAATTGAAGGTCAACTGATTTTCTGAATTATGCATGAAATAAGCTAGCACAGTAATCTACTTGTCATAAACAATCAAAGCATTAGGTGAATAAGGGTAAACCGACTAATAGTTAGGTAATACAATGTAAATACTAGAGATAATAAGCAACGTAAATACATGCATAACTAAAATGTAAACAGTGTTATTCATTGTGTAACGCAGCTCGCTAGTTTACTTATTTATTACAAGCTGAGAAAACACATCTAGCTTTTGGTAAGGCACACAATATTGATTGTTGATTTTGTCGTAAAGTAGCTTAGTGTTCTGAAAGCTTATCCAACAATCGTACCACAGGATAAAATCAGATTCATACACTTGCTGATAGTGCTACAGGTACAGACAACGTAAGACCTGATAGCATCACTAGTCGAGCAGAAATTGTAGCTTGATATCAATTTTGAGAAGCTTCAAACAGTTATAAATTTCGATTACTTACAAATAACAAAGCGTTGAAAACAGATATAGATCTACAAAATTAATTAATGGATTAAAAACCAATAGGTAGGCAGAATAATCTGAGAAAATGTTATATTTACTTGTGTTAGGAGTTTCCAAGAACGAATCGGCCCAAGAGGACCATGGTCAGTAACAGAAGAAGGTTTTGCCCAGAATTTAACATTTCCACCAAGTGGTAACCAAAGCAGTAAGTTAAGGTGAATTTCAGGTAACTTTAGACATCTGAAATCAAGTACAAATAATGGAGTGAACCAGATTTTAAAATTTTTACCACCAAACGATTGCAGTTGTTAGTACGGTAAGTGTAAATATTTTTAATGTAGAATTTCAGTTACTGAGAAGTGTTAAAATACACTACACTGTTGCAAAACAAGTGGCTGTAGACACAGGAAATAAACAATAAGTATTTTATTTAGTGGCATAAGACAAAGTATTTTACCTGCAATAAGCAGTAAAGTATATTAATACAAGCAGAATATTCCAAGACACCGAAATTATTCTGGAGATAGCACAACCATTTATGGCTATACAACTGAAAAAGCGGAATAGTAAGGCAGTGACTGGTTTAATGTTAGCTTAGTTGATGGATTATTCTTAGGCCAAAGACTAGGGGACGGATAACCTGTAGAAACTACCTGAGTTTTCGGACCGCACTCCAACCGACAAGAGAAGGGAATGCTTGAAAAAGAAAAGTTCTTTCTATCTATTAGGAACGCCTATACATAAAAGGATTTGAGAAAGTATAAATTCCTTGCTACTGGAAAACTTAGATAAGTTTAGAAACGTATAGAAGTGTCCGATCCGGTCACAACTTGTTCGTGTATCTTATTTTGGCAAATAACAACAATTATGGTTTTAAGATTAGAAACTGATGTGACAGTAATTCGCCCAAATGGTTACTTATGAGAACTTCTAGATTAAAGGCACTGAAATTAAAGCATGGCGTTTAACTAATTTACGGGGAAAACTTTTCATTTAAATAAGTAATAAGACAGTCGGTTTTACATAGCAAAGCAAGCAAAAAATAGCGTTCATGAGAGCGCTAAAAATCACTCCATGACATTAAAACCCATGATAGTAATGCAAATCTACTACAATACGACGAATATTCTGTTTGAACTTACTGAGTATCAGGACATTGAAGTCTTTTTAGAGAACTGTTAATATTACTATCTTCGATTGGGACAAACTCTATTTTAGTGTATCCTAATCGTTCTCGAGCTAAGATCTCAAACAAATAATTCACAATCCAATGTTCTGGATTATTAGTGACTTCAAGTCTGAGTGTTAAAACTTTGTTGTTAAAACTGAATGTTCTGTTCCACTTAAGCTTTTCTACAAATAAATGTTATAAAAAGTACCATATCGCCCACCAAAAAGTCCAAAGCAGCCGTCGCTAGGAGTACAAGAGCTTTCGTCAATAATCCACAGGAAAGAAAATACTAACACCAATCGCTGATACATCTATTTCTCGCAACAGTTCATTCGTCTTAGCGTGATAAAAATGAATGTGGAGGTTGTTGCCAGGTAGGCAGACAACAAGACGTGCCCATTGAGATGAAATATGCGATTACTGAATTTGTAACATATAAGCCAGGATCGGATAATTTGAAGATAACGTCATCACGTGACACAGGGTCACGTAGCGCCAGATGTGATCATCGCGGCCATTTGAGCTTTGTCCCTCTAATTTTTCAACTTTCACTAAACACGCTGCTATGTCTAGTAACTGTGACTGACTAACTTCCCCGTATGTAAGCATAGATATTTAAAATTCATCAAGGAAATAGGGCACTACACTTTTATGAAGCTTTCGGAAAAGATTTCAAGTAAAAAGCTACTTAGAAGACCAGTCACGGCGACAGACTTCAAGACTTGACAGTTGATTAAGAGTAGTAGTATTCTTGCGGTACATGTGCTATATTGAATCTAAAGGGGTGATCTTATCCGCAACGCAACCATGTAAACTTAATGTATCGCACACTGTCATTTGTGCGTGCAAGTAACCACAGATTTTGTCATTTCATAATGTATTTTTAATTAAATAACTAGATTATGTAGTTAATTTTGCTCTGTTTTTAATTTTTATTCGCCACGTCTGACTGCGTTACACTGTACGTCCATTGCACGCTGAGATGATATCTCAAGTCATAGTGAGTTTATTCACATAGTAGATTGTTTCCAGATAGACTATCAGTGCATGATTTTACTGAAGAAAGGTTTGTTGTACTGTAAACTATGTTTCTATGAACAACTGCCTGTTGTCTTCAGTATGAAAGCAGTATATATGTAACCTTTTTTTCTTAGGTAAGTTCAACTGGCCTATATTTCCTGTTTTAGTTTTATCGGCTTAATTATGTCCATTTAACTACTTTGAGCAACATGTCTTTGCAAGTGAAACAATAACTATGACAATTGCTTAGTTTAGTGTTCGTGGTTGTCGTATAATTCAGTTTAGTTGAAAGAATTATGATATACTTAAGTATAGTGCTTGAAGCCTGTAACGAAACAGATCAGTTTATTAAGTAGAGTTGCCTGTTTCTAATGTGTATACGGATTCAGATCAGTCTGATTAAAAATAGGAAAAAACGTGCCTTTGATGCTGTTGCTGTCATACATTATAAGATAGCGATAAGTATGTTTGGTGTTTATTTCTAAACTGTACATCTATCACTGACCATATTTCATGATAACTGTCACTAAACAATTTCCCCAGCAATAACATCGGTAGCAAGATAGCTAAGTGTCTGAGCTTTTAGTTGCCCGTAAAACAGCAGTATACAGTCTTAGAAGGTGAGTTTTCTGTGTCTCAATTAAATGCAGCTGGCTGTGGACAAATGTTAAGAATCTTTTTGACAACTGGGACTTTTAGTTTATCAGACACTTACTCTGCTTGTATGTTTTCCTGTTAAACCAGACGCAGATGCATGGGAATACTTAATTGGGAGCAAAATAATAACAGCATTGCAATACGGTACTAAGCCCATGTTATGCTTTGCACAAGTAATAGTAGCTGAGCTTATCTAATATTCATGAACTCAAGGTAAATCACAACTGCATAAATTCTTTGCTAAAAAACATGTGATTTGGTTATTTATATATTCCACATTTCTGACTAAATTCAATATTTTTTCATTTAGAATGCAACAGTAGTGAGTCTTCACAGACCCTAAAAACTGTTTCGTCCTTGGAACTATGGCCCTATGGAACTGTTTACGGGAGACCCAACGAACAGCAGATTATAAAAAGGATGCTGGACGTCCATTTTAGTCTCGCAACCACTCCCAGTATTTTTTGACTTCTTTTACTCTTTCGTTTGGAAAAAAACAACAAAAACTGCAGCTTAATATTACCAATACAACTTTTAAACGGAGAACTTGGTTTAAACCTTTGTTTGATATTCGATTCTTAATGAAAGTTCCTCAAGAAATTTTTGAATCTAATGCTACTTTGTTTTATCTACTTAATCGTTGCAAGAAACTTGTGATAAGCGAGCCTCTCAGCACCTAGTTCATGTGTTCAAATGGTTGTGGACTTAATAGAAGCTTTCGCTTAACAGGCTTCCGTGTCTAGTAGCGGGGGGTCACCAAAACCTCCAGGCAGGAACCTAGGTATGTTAACAATAAAAGAGGAAAGAGAAATTGGTAAATCATAGTATGATACTACCCTTAAGAATAGATACACTTGCCTCTTAAAGGACTCCTGGGAAGTCGCTTGGATTAGCTCGGCGGGCAGCGGATCCCAGCATTTGACAACTCTTAAGGAGTAGAAGTTGCGTCTACAGTCCATTCTGCCATGTTGTGTCGCTGGTTTCTGGGACTAAGCCTAAGTAGGTGTTTTAGGGGATGTCCAGAAGTGTTAGGGTTATTGTAAGCCATTAGGTCACCTCTAAGACGTCTATACTCTAATGAGTAGAGGTTAAGTGATTGAAGGCGCTTTTCATAAGGTGATTTGGTGCATATCTTCGTCATTTTCTTGCGAGACTTACATACTCGGGTCCTCTCATAACTTATTCTAACCACCATGGGTTGTCACGTCAGCTGATGGATGGACACGCATTACACATCCTAACCGTACCTGCTTCTTATCTTATAGCTTCTAATTCAAATGACAGGCAAGCATTGCCCCTACCCGCACTAATGGAACACTAGTAACTAAAATGCACCCCGCATGATAGCTTACACTGGTTTACGCACTCGCTGAGCTCTTTAGTGAGAATATTAATACGGTCCTGCTGAAAATCCCATGAACCCCTTTACCTTCATCAAAACAAATAAGTCTGTATTTGCAGCATATAGCAATTTTATTATTCAAAAGTAAGATATAACAGTTAGAATTGGAGTAAAATGGCAGAATACAGCAGATGCACGTGGTACATGTCTTCATCGATTAGCTGAAATAGAGAATACGGATATTAGCTTAAAAGGCTTATTTAGAAAGACTAGTGTCTAATTTGAACTTACTGCGTGAGAAAGTTATACTGGAACTACGAATAATGTAGGAACCTAGTCTCCCAGGGCGTACGAAGCACTCAGACTATAAGACAGTTGTCCAAAAATAATTCGAATATGAAGGTGAAAATTTTCAGGCACTTTTCATCGTAAGGGTGAACATAGGTGCCAGATGACATCATACCGTAAAAAACACAAATTTGCGAGTGGTGAAATATGATCTATAAAAAAGTGAGCTTAATAAAAAGTTAATTACCTTTTTACTCCCTGATCATGACCTTTCGGCTTCCTTTTATGGCCAAAACAGCAAACATACACTACACACTGATAGCAGATTTCCGGCTTTTCAATGTTAAGCTTGCTTTAACACACTGCATAATGAGTACAACCCCTATATTACTGCTATATGGCATATTTTTCATAACAAACCCTCTGCAATAGAATGGTAGCATCTGTGACTTCATCTATAGTTGTCGGAAGTCTGGGTCCTTTCGAAATCAGTACCGATATACCCTACTGCTGGGCACTCTGCATTAGTTTGACTCGTTGGTGGGATAGTGTTGTCCATAATACTGAAGAAAATTTAAAAAAGCGCAGATTGTTTCCTTTCGTTTTGCCGATAACACAAGACTAGCCAGATCGCCTGAAGAAATACATTGACTTGAGTAGAAGCAGCAAAAACCCAGAAAACATCGCTGATTCGAAATAAACTTCACACCAACATATAATACATTACACTAACTGCGGCATTTTAGCACACTGAGACATTAAATTACACAGCTACACAAAAGAAATAGCTGAAAGAAGCACAGAACGAAGAAGGCCGGCCGCCATTGCTTACGAAGATGGCGGATGTAATAATTCCCGCCTCATTCTGATTGGTTGCTAAGCTGAAGGGCACATTTACGAAATTGAGTTGCGTTTAATTGCAGCCATCTAAAGCTTTCTCAAACTAGGTACGTGTAACAACAGTTGGTCATTGCAATACTGTAGAGAAGTAACTTGTCCTATAGATGTCTACAGTATACACGTGTGTATTTCAGCCGTTCACCACTTGATTGAGGAAGTCACGTCAAGAATCCGGTAGTTGTATCCCGATCTACGTGCCTTCTTTGAGTTGGTCCAATACAACTAATAAAGTCAGCGTCAATCTCTAAGTCTCACAAAGCTTTTTATGTGAATGATTTACTGCTTCGCTTTTAAGAGTTCTGTTAATTTCGTGGAAGCTGAGTCATTCAAACTACCTTGGATTCGCTTGTGCCCTACTTGGTCTCGAATTGTTTAAGCTTGAATTTTTACCTAGATATCCAAAAAACAAACTGAGTTTGTTTCCTGTGTGAATTTATTACGTATACACTTTTTGCCTATTTCGAATCCACCGCTGTTGATTTCACAGGCCCTCTTTCTTCCCCTAGCTTCCTTAGGTGTATGAAATGTAGGTTTTGACGAGCCTCTCATCATTTCACAGTATTCAGAGAGGTAGAAGAACTTATATCATTAACCGTTGAGAAGTATTATGAAGTGTGAACGGTTGGAGTTAGATCAAAATCTATTTTCTTTCCTCAAAAACATCTACCCTGACTTTTAGTCCTGCGTATAAAACGTAGGCTGAGTATAATCGAAATACTATCACAGTTGGATGCCCAAAAAACGTCCTCTAGGTTATTTTCGAATATATGAAGGCGTGTTGTTCTGTATCCAATACATATAAATTCTCTTTCTTTACAAAACCGCTCCCACAGAAGTGTAAATGCAAATAGTGAGAAAGAAAGATTATTGGTCGGCCGAAACAAGAAGTAACCATACAGAGGTCCTTATATACGTTTGTCTTTTAACAACTATAGCCTTCAAGTGATCTAAGTCTTGTAGCGGTAAATAAATCCCCAAAATAAATAGCACTAAGTTTTCGACATTGGATGCTGACCATATGTTTTAGTGGACTCATTTAGCTGAAGGCGCTCGGTCAGGCATCCGCACCAGATCACGTGTGGTAACGCCGTGCTCAACATCAACCGCAATCGCTAGCCAGATTAGACCAGGGAATTCCGATATATTGGTCATCGCCAAATATACTCTTCCGATCTCCTCGACTCTGTCTTTTGATTTCTCTGGGCGGGAACGAAATATATTAGAAGGTGTTACTGGTAGAAGCGTTGTCAAACACTGAATACCTGTGACATCATCATTGGTGAAA